TTTCCCTAACTCATTTGCAACCCTCCAGCTTCGCTGACTCTCATTCCCCATCGCTGCAAGCCACCCCGACAACAATCACGTTATTGTTTCCCAACATTTCGTCACCGACGAGCCATCCTTCCCACTGTCGCATCCTTCAGACGATCCTCCTTTGGTTGTTCGGCAGTCCCATGCCTTCACTGTTGCCGCCACCCAAAAGCAGTCATTCCATGTTGTACTCTACTGTTGTAGCCACTCGACCAGTTGTTTCCCTCATTCCAGCTAGATTCCATCGCCGCAACACCTCTCACTTGCTGCTTTCCTAGTGCCCAGCCGCCCCAAACAACAAACTGCCACTATCTGGGGACTGTCGTCCCTTACTGCCTGGCCATTCCAGCTGTCCATAATCGTCGTCGCTCCTCTACCAAAGCACGAAAACCTCCTTCCCTACCTTGTCGCCACCTCAACCAGTTCTCTGACCGTCACCAACATCACCTTGGAGCCGCCCTAATGCGAGTTTGAGTGTTGTGTGTTATATTTTACCATTTGAAGTGTGTTGGTTGTAATCCTTTATTTGTACTTAGTAATATTATTATTATTTTTTTTGTTATGGTTTGGGTGTACTCTAGTATCATATAATGGGGCATTTGTCAATTTCTCCTTGAGTCTATTTAGATATATTTGAAGTTTATGGCTTTAGTGAGTAACCCACCATCTACTAACTTCATGGAGGAAAATTTTTCTCAACCAATTGAAGACGGTAAGCGTTTACAGCCAATACCTGGAAATAAAGTAAATAATGCAAAAAAAAAATTAAAAAAAAAAGAAATTCTAAACGAATTTCCTTTTGCACCACCAATACTTGAATATGCCCTCCTAAAATGTCAATTTCCCCCAAGTAAAATAGCTTGAACGCAAAAGTTCACTGCAACTGCTACCATTGTTTCACTAATTTAGAAAACAAAATAAATAAACTTATCAATCACAAAGCTTCCGCCAAAATTATATAAATGTGAAGACAAGTAACAATTAATCATGCTCAAAGTGGAGAGAGCAAGTCTTGTCCTATTACTTGGAGGGCAAAACAATCTCATTGGATAAACTTACGGAGACACTAAAACAAATATCAGAGGTCAGAAAAACTTACTTGGCAATCACCAGCACCAACACGGGCAAAGATACAATCACGAATGCTTACACTTGCCTTATCGCATGGAACAAAGCATCCAATTTGCGCCATCAACACATTCACGCCGACCTACCATTATAAATATGTAAGAAAAAAAAAAACCCATAAATATACATGACATCTTGCAGGATGCAGAAAAGTTAATAACAAATCGCGAGAATGAATTTTTATATAGAACTTATGAAATTTATGAATTCAAACCTAAGTTTCTCAAACAACTTCCCATGATATAAGCATAAGCAACAGGAAGAGCATAGCATATCAGTAATTTTAGAAATTGTGTAGGGAACTTCCTCTTTTATTATTCTCAATTGAAAACATATATTATATATTTTTACACGCTCCCAACTCTATAGATTAGGAATAATAAAAGACCCTCTAATTAGATTTCTAATTAGGTTGCCTAATATTAAGCTCCCTAATATACACTACCCATAACACTCCCACTCAAGCTGAGAGCATAGATATTTATCATGCACAATTTGTTACAAATATAAGTGACCCAAACTTCATTAAGGGCCTTTGTGAAGATATCAACTAGTTGTTCAATAGTCTTCACATGAGCTATAGTAATTAGATTATGTTGAAACTTTTCGCAAACAAAATAACAATACATCTCAATGTGCTTAGTTTGTTCATGAAAAATAAGATTTCAGACAATATGAATTTGCAGTTTAGTTATCACACCACAGTTTTGTAGGAACTATCTTCTTAAATTCCATTTCGATCAAGAGTTGGGAAACTCACATCAATTTAAGCGAAGCTTGTGTCATTGCACGATACCAAATTCAGCACTAGATCGTGACACTATATTATGTTTCCTACTCTTCCACGAAACCAAATTACCACCAATAGAGACACAATATCTAGTAACATATCTTCGATCAATCTTAGAACTTGTTCAATCTGCATCAGAAAAACATTCGATATTTCTATGCTCATGATCCTATTAAATAACTTGTCCATAAGCTCTCTGGAGGTAACATATTATTTGTTCCCATGCTAAACAATGAAAGATTGTGGGAGAAGACATGAAACTGACTTATAGTGCTATCTTTATAAACAAGGTTAGTACAAGTTAGTGCAATATAGTTTAATTTTCCCACTAACTTTCCATGTCGTTGAGGATAATTAAAAAGCTCTCCATCTTCATTAACTTGCTAATTAGAAAATATCAGAATACTGCATGATTTGGCCACTAATTCTCAGTCTTTGCTAACAAATCCAACACATGCTTTCATTGAGAAGGAAAGATATGCTTCTTGTTTCTTGATACATCAATCCCCCAAAAGTATTTCAAGGAACCCAGATCTTTAGAGCTAAACTAATTTTGAAAAAAAATGATTTCAATAATAAAATTCATTGCACTTCACTTCCAATAATAATAATATCTTACCGACATAAATCACTAATAAAATGATTCAAAACAAATAACTTAAATATAGAATTCAGTGTAATCACTTCTACTTTTTTGCATCCCAAACTCTTTTATCGCTTGGCTGAATTTTTCAAACAATACTCGAGGGCTTTGCTTCAATCCATATAAGGACTTTCAAAGACGACATACTTTAGAGGTTGCTCTGTGTATACTTATTCTAAAAGATCATCATACAACAACACATTTTTCACATCCAGCTGGTGCAGGGGCCAATTATTTATTGCGACCAAGGACAGCAGTAGTGAACAGAAGTCAACTTAGCTATCAGAGTGAATGTGTCCAAGCAGTCAATCCCATAAGTTTAAACATAGCCCTTACAAACCAACCAAACTTCGAGACAAACTACAGATCCATCAGAATGAAACTTAACAACAAAGATCCTCTTACAAACCACAACCTTCTTGCTAGAAGATAGTTCAACAAGTTTCCAAGTTTCATTTTTAGTTAAGACATTCATCTCATCAAGTACCATTGCCCGACACCCAGAATGGTATAGGGCTTGTTAAACAAATCTTGGAACCTCAACAGAGTCGAAAGAAGCAACCAAAAAAAAAAATGGATGATAATTGATTATAGTTAAAACAAGAGGAAATGAGATAGACAAACTGGCGTTTATCTCTTTGAAGAGCAATAGGTAAATTAAGGTCATTGGGAGAAGGATCCAATGAGGAAAATGATATTCGTGTCGGACTAGGATGGAGGGGACAAACTTCTCTCGAGTAAATATTAGTTATAGGTGGTCTAGACAAAAGCAGTGGAGGTAGCACTTAAGCAGGATCTAAACTTATAATAATGTTGAAGTTAAAAAATAATAATTATCAAGAAAAAGTTATTAATGTTATTAATTAAGTTAATTAAATTTAATTGATATTAAATTCTCATGTAGTTGTTCCAGTCCACTTGCTCATAACTCAACAAACGAGGCCCTACTCGACGACTTCTACTGGGGGGATCGAAGCAAAACCATAAAGGGCATCCTCACTATTCATATTCCTCCTATCCATAGAGAGAACCGCAACGTACAGTCTCGCTTGCTACTTCTTTTCCCCTGTCATCACGATACAATTGCTATTAGGGCTATGAGAAAGGAAAAACGAGATCGTTGCCTGCAGAGACACGAAACTCTCATCCATTTTCTCCTTCTGCACTGCTTTGTTGAAGACCCTCACCTACCCCTCTCCGGCCCAAACAACACTTGCGACACGGTCACTGTGAAAGGAACGACGTAATCACGGGGTAAAATAATATGTCTTCCCGCTCAATGAAGTAAAAAAAAAGGCAGAAAACCGCTTGAGCCCCCGTTATGTGCTTGATGCAAAGCAAAACGCTTGCCTGTGTCTACATTCCTTTACACGAAATTACTCTTCGATTAGTCCTCAGGTTCAAGGCCAACACAATGTAATTCATGTGCCCCTTATCATCTTCAACTTCGTCGTCAACGACATCGAAGCTCAAAAAGGTCTAATGTTAGGGCAATGGGTCAATTTTTGAAACCTCCATTTGAGGAGAGCAAAGTACTCGTTAGGCGGAGAAAATTATGAACTCCTCTAGATAATTATTTTTAAAATCAAGGAACCCTATGGTTGTGATTTGAAATTTTCTACAAGTACCTTGAAGACCCATCGCATCTTTTGAGATTATGGGTTAAATATTCTTTTTGCTCCCCGACCGAAGTGTCTCACGACACTGACCAATAAGACTTTTGAGATAGCCGAGAATGTTAACATTTTCCCATGCCCCCAAACCTGAAATTGGCATCGGGATGCTGCCGAAAGTTTAAGTGATTGGGACTCGAGCTTTTCAAAATTTAGGCTCTTAAAGACATTTAAAGTATAAAACTTAAGGGCTCAAAAATATTAAAAATTTGGATTGTAAAGTTTAAGCTCTAAGATCTAAAAAAGGAAATATTTTGAAATTGTGCCACCATAATCAATTCAAAATTGAAATTTCGAATTTAGGCTCTTAGGGAAGAAGCATAATTCAAATATGGAGTTTTCTTAAAAATTGAAATATATCGCCACCAGAATCACACCTTGTGTATAAGCGAACAGAAAAGGACCCTCTTTTAAGCCCAAAATGAAATTTTATAGGATTCAGATATCATAATATTACAAATATTTCAAATTACCAATGATTTCAAAGTTCATCAATCTTCAGGACTGCTGCTCAAGTTAAATGCAGTGTTTTAAAAATTAACATAAGTATTTCTAAGATTTATATGAATAATGGGTTGGATACTCTGAGGCTAAAGATACCCTAAGACATCAAATGGTCCAACTAAAATAACTCAAACATATGAAATTGAAACGTCTGCATGTGCTCTAACCAAAATATTAAAGGTTTAAATACGAGTTTTGAGAATGTTGTGTGGGCTAATCGGTCAGCATTGTCAATAGGATAGTGTTGTAAGTACCACCCAACTAGTTTGATCCTCCTCCTCATAATAACTAGAGTTAACGAGTTTAGTAATCTCGAAATAAATGTCTAAATCATGAAATAAGAATTTACAAATTCAAATCACATAGTTTGATTTTTCTCCTTATAAGAACAAGAGTCGACAGGACTTGTACCATAAAAGTACAAACTGATAAAATTAAATGCCCAACTTTAAGATAAAAGCTTTAAATGCCTAATACCCCAATGATGGTTGTTTTGATTGAAAATTTCAATCGGAGGGAGGTCAATCTTTTACATAAAAAGTTTCAAAGTAACCAACATTATATATTTAAACTAAAATTCAATCACTTAAAACATAAAGTGAATTCTATCCACCCTCCGCGACAAAGAGTTTGTCTAGGGTGACAGATTTTCGATTTACTTTAGCTCACAAATGTCACCTCTGTCTCGTGAGTTTGCCGCTAAATGACACGATAAAACGATAAAAGGGCGGTTACGACCAGAGTCCTCTGATCGGGTAGTTGCCGCCAAATGACACCATTATATTACGGTCACGATTGTACCACGTATGTTCTCCAACGTCTTTCTACCCTTTGAGTTGTGAATCATAAGGATAATTGATTGGCACAAAGCCTTTTGTTAACTAAGATTGACTTAAATTTGGCTCCTTAAACAAACATTCACCCGGATCTATAAGGATCTCTTGGAAAACACAACTCATAGGTTGTTGATACGAATCCTCCTGCAGGTTGGGTCGACTACCTCCTTTGACTAAGTAGATCAGGAACAGTGATGGCCTAGGGTGACGAAACTATGGAATCTTGATTGGGTTTCGTCTTCATTCTCTCACCATCTGCTTTAAGCTTCAAGTGGTGAATTCTACAATTTAAAATCCTAAATATGCTGCTATTATAAGTTGAATATTCAATCATTAATGACTAGTCTTAATCGAAAGTGCTCTCTCGTTATCGGGAGGGGTAATTAACCATAAGGGTTTGCATATCTGGAAAACCTCAAACCCCACATCAAAAAATCCTCGCAAAAATGAGGGTAAAATTTATAGGTAGTGTCTTATCTACAAGTCAATCTGCATTCTGAAAATTCGACCCTCTTATGCAAAATTATAAAATAATGCAGAGCTGTTATAATCTCTGGTCGTGAAGTTTCAGAGCCCACATCTCATCAAAATCTTGTGAGAACTTAAACACTGATGAGTCGCAAAAAGAATAAATTTTGTTCATGAATTGTGACATCAACAATAAACATGTATCTATTCAAGAGAGGAAAAACATCGATACTATTTACATATAAAAATATCCTAAAAAGGCACACTTTAATGAATTAAGGTCTAGTTTAGAAACTTGAGGACGAGTATCATAAACAAAATAAGTACACCCAAACATGCATGGTTCAATAGAAAAGAAAGTTAGTTGGAAACAAAACTTCGTTGGGTTTCTGATTCTATAGAGTAGTTGAAGGCATCTGATTGTTAAAAAAGCATGCAGTAGAGACTACATCAACCCATAACTATTTCAAAAAAAATGATCCAATTTAGACGCTTGAGAATGAGTATCACGAACAAAACAAATACACACAAATATGTGTGGTTCAATAGAAAATAAAAAGTTAGTTGGAAACAAAACCTGGTAGGGTGTCCGATTTTATAGAATGGTAGAAGGTATCTAATTGATAATAAAAAACTGCATCAACCCATAACTGTTTAGGCACATTTGTTCGAAACAAAAAAATTCTAGTCATTTCAAGACGGTGTCTATTTTTATTTAAGCTATTATATTTTAGGATAGAGTATTTATAGACACAAGATGAATGGTGAAGCATCCCGTTTTGTGTCATATATATTTGAAAGGATGCCAAAAAATATTTATTGACATTATCACTTCTCAGTCTTAATCGAAATATTGAATTGAGTTTTAATTTTGACACAAAAGGATTAATAATGTGACAGTTACTTAGTACGAAATTTCATAAAGTAAAACCAACTTATACAAGAAATATCCACAAAAATGATAAAATATCATAATTCCAATAAATACAATAGAACAAGGTCTCTAAACAATGGAATGAACTAGCTCAAAACTATGACTTAACTCTTTTATTAACTCTAGGAAAAAAAAATATGATGGTGCAGCAAATTGACACGACTCACAATCTAAAGATAATAATTATTAAAATTGAAGGTACAACTTTTTTAGCATTGATAGTGATGGATGTCATAATCGACTAGGAATCTCAAAATGAGATAAAATGTAGAAACAGGTTACGGGTCAATGTACCTCCATATCCATAGTAAATAGCCTTCCTGATTCTCGTCATTTATAGAAGATCTTGAAAAAGACAGTAGTTGGAAAAAAAAATAATTTATAACAGTTAAGAGCACGTGATTTTGCTAACTGAAACAAGACAAAATGAATTGAGAAAAACAGAGAACAAAAGTTGGAGAAAATGTTGTTGTAACTTTGATGGCGCCAAAACTAAGAACAATAAAGGTGGATCTATCTACTGAAGTGATGGAAGAAAGTCGTTTATGAAAGGTAGAAAAGAGTTTTAAATTACATGTCATGTGATTTGGAGCACCAAAATCAATGAACCATTGTGTTGAAGAGAAAAAAAAGACAAGTATCATTGTTACCTGACATAGCAAGGGCAATGATATAGGGAGATTTCTCGAAATCTTCCTGAAATTTGATGAACTTAATATATTCATATACAAAGATCAAGAAAGTCCAACTCTGAGAGGCTTTATTAGTAGTGACCATATGAGCTAATTGTGATTTAGAACCACTATGGTTCTTTTGAGAAACTTCCAATGCTTTCTTTCATATGACCAAATTCATCACAGTAATAACTAATAACAAACTACCTTCTAACTTTGATATCTAAAATTCAAAGTTTCATTTATATAATTGCCCTGAGACTGAGGTTTACACTAGGTTGTTGTACGGATGAGGCATGAGAATTCGGAATCGTATGCACTAATCTAATATAGGCTTTGCTCAAAGGAGTACATCTAGGGTCAAATAAGATCTGTGATTTGACACATTCATATTAAGAGTTGAGACCAACTAGAAAACTCATGATAATCATTTATTCTCTTTGAGCTTGTTGAATTCAAACATCAGTACTGAAGAGCAATAGTGTGTTCATTTCTTCATACTCACGTTTAAAATTCATGTGATACATCTCAAGTGGTTGATCCCGTTGTTCAACTCGATAGAACTTCTTGCATACTTTAAAAATTTGATAAATATTTTCTCTTCTAGAAAACACAAACAACAATTTCTCCAACACATCTTTAGTACAAGTGCAATAAATAATATGACTAGATTGATCAGATTCGATAGAATTTCATATTTGTATCAATAAATGAGCATCCGCTCTCAGCCACTCAGAATAATTCAATTTAGTTTCAGTTGGGGGATCATCAATGAGGTGACTCTTTAGCAAAATTTCTTAAATAAAATCTCACAATTTTATTCTAGTAAAAATAATTTGACATTTACTTTTCATATGTAATCTTCAGAACTGATCAAACCAAACCTGTCATAAGAAGATTTTATTTACTATACAAAATCAATGTCATTTAATATTGAAGGACAAGCTAAAGGAGCGGCCAAAGCACTGTGAGACAAATAATTTGACAACCAACCATTTACTGTTAGCCCAATAAAGAAAAAAGAAAAAAACTGAATTAGCAAAGCCAAAAAAGCCAAATGCAGCAATTGACTTGAACAAATGAAGTAGGGCGAACTAAACAGAGCGGCCAAAACATCGCCTTAATCTCATCGACAGAGGTAGGCAAACGAAGCCTTCGAATGAAACCATAGAGCGAAGTAGATGAAGCCTTTGAGACGAAATCTTCGAACAAAGCCGACAAAGTCGTCGATGCCCTTACAAATGTCGTTTGAAGTAGATGGGGCCTTCAAATGAAATTGAAGCACCACAATGACGCCGATGTTTGAAGCAAACAAGGCATTCGAACATAACCAAAGAACCGAACAATGACGCCGAGCGATCTAGATGACAAAACCAAAGACATCTAGGGATGTTGACGACGAAGCTGAAGGCATCATCTGTTCCGAAGCAGACGACATTGTCTATGTCAATCGAACGAAGTATTCATAGATGATGCTCTGATACCATGTGATGAAAGCTTTTTTTTTCTTATTCCCAATTAAAAATATATATTACATATTTATACACACTCTCAACACTCTAGATTAGAAATAACTCTAATAAAGAAAACATACTCTAATTAGATCTCCTCTAATTAGGTTGTCTAATATCAAATTTTCTAATATATAAGCTTCCTACATACACTATCCATAACAAAAATCAAGCACAATTTTCTAAGGAACTTGTATAATGGGACTAGCAATTCATGGTTAGATTCAGGCTAAATAAACAAACTTCAAGTGCTACAGGATAAAAGGAGGCCACAAATCTGAGATACTGCTCCTCTGTTTATGAAATGGAGTAAAATTCAGATTTATGGAAGGCAAAAAAAAATAAAAAATTAAAAAAATGAAGAAGAAACCTGTCGTATAAAGGTAGATTTTCCGCCCATATTAGGACCAGTAATAATCTGCAACCAACTCTTACCTCGAACCTGCATTCTCACTAAAAAGTTTAAAACAAGTGCCAATCTTTCCAGAGAGAATAATCAGGTATTACTTACAAGGTTGCAATCATTAGAAATAAAATTTACACCATCCTGCGCCTCTACACAAGGATGTCTGCAGCCTTCTAGCATGATATCTCCTTCCTCCTACAAATTGGTAAAGTAATCAATAGTGCTTCCACTTCACAATCAAGCAAACAAAATAGCCTCGCAATTTATTTATTGGAGTACATAATTCTTACAGATCCGGTAATCTCTGGTCTTACGTATGGAACAGGGGAGCAAACAGTTAAATCAGCAAAACTGAGCAACACATCTAGCTCAGAAAGAAGCCTGGCCGAATCTTCAAAAATCTAAAGAAAAACTTGCTTGAAATTGTAAGCAAAAATTTATTGTAAAAACAGGAATTAAAAAAAAAAAAACTCAAGAACATCTGTATTACCACAGAAAAGGTAGCTGTAGTATCCACAACACGCAAAACTAAATGTTTTTGCCGACTTGTATACTCGTTGAGTATCTTCTGATACTGATCTCCAAGTTTTTTAAGCTTTGTATTTGTAAATTTCACTCCATCCTTCCGAGTCTCAAGAACAATAAACTGCGTATTTAAAGTTTTCCTCACTTTCTGCTCTTCTTTCTTGGTGATTCTAAATACATGTCCAAACTGACTCCCTTTTTCCAACTTTAAGGACTTATCAAGAGGAAGATCGAGATCATTGGCTGTTTGCTTATGCAAATTGTATATTTGTTGCTCCACTGCATCAAGTTTATCTTTCAATAATGCTAATTCTTCATCATAACCAGGTGATATCATGTATTCGCCGCTCTCAATATGGTTGACATCAACAGCGGTGTCGACTAGATCAATGAACATATTCAGCTTATCCTTATCCAACCAATCTTGCAAAGGATGGATATATTTCTTTCTTATTAAAAGAGAAAACTGTCCTTCATAATGCTCAAGGGCGCCTTTAATGTATGGAAACCTGTTGCATGCCTGTAAATGAGTCAAATGTATCAATTTATCAAGAGAACAATATTTTTGAAGCTAACAGAACAATGTCCGCCATTATAGAAAATAAACACACTACATAAAAATTAATTAAATATAGATGGCATGAAAAGATCCTAATGGTCTATTCAAGAATCAAAGCTAACTGTTGCATGGAAGAAGCTTTGTTCTATGCTAATAGAAAGATCAAATGAAGTTGCTTTATTCAAAAACTATCTCCAATAGTCTTAAGACTGTAAAGCCTGACGTTGTTGATGCCTCCTAAGGTGTCATATGTGTGATAGAAGCACTGCAGATTTTGTTGACAACCTATGAACTTATTAATTTCATGCTTTGAAATGTCCAAAATTCTTATATTAAAGTTTTTTATTGTTGGTATTGGAATTCCATGACATCCATTATGCACAACATATTCTTCCGCAAAGATTCATCGACATGTTTAAGGAAGCCATTGTGCATGACAACTCTCATCTTGTAAATGATAATGTAAGTCCTCAATTCCTCAATTTAATTATGATGGAGGACTTCGTCAAGGACTAAAAATTATCCTCTTTCAATATTTCCTTTTAACGATGTGGTGAATATCTTACACAATATGCTCAAGGCTACTGATTATAATAATTGGATAGGTGACATGTAAACAAGGACTCTCTGCTAAATAATAGTATTCAATTTGTGGATGGCACTCTTCTCATCGGTGGGGAAATCACATTATAAATCGGTTAACCTAAGCACATTGTTCAACAATATGAAAAAATTGTTTATCTTAATATCAAATTTGACAAATCTTCATCATTATACCTTGAAACTTGGGTTATAATCTACGAATATATTTCTTTCAAGTATCTTGGAAATCCATTTGGCTCCAAAATCATTCATAATTTTTATGGAATCCAGTCATTGAAATTATCCCAAGAAAAGATTGTCTAGCTGAAAAGGTAAATTCTTTTCTCAAGAAGGTTGAATCTTATTAACTATATTACTATTGTTATTCCTTTGTAACATTTGTCTTATTTTAAGATATTTTTCTGGGAGGTAAAAAAAAAATAAAAATGCTCAACTGGACATTTTTTATAATAAGGGCATTTATCTAATCAATTGGAACAAAAATTGCATATCTAAAATTCAACTGAGAAATCGAGAGTAACTCTGAGAGTTCTTATTAGTAGTGACCCTATGAGTTGATTGTGATCTAGAACCCTTCTGATTCTTAGTAAGCAACTTCTGACAAGTTCTCTTCGTATAACCAAGTTTATGGCAGTAGTAACAAACTACCCTCGAGCCTTAATTTCCATAATTCGGAGTTACTGTTGACCTCATTTTTAGTGAGATCTTAGTCTCCTACTCCCAGAACCCATAATCTAGCCTTAGGAGTTCCTTGTTGACCATCCTAGCGGACTAGTAATGGAGCCCACCTCTCGTAGAACTTCAAACCGCTTCTTGACTCATTTTTGTGAAGAACTCGCATGAGTGGTTCCAAACACTCAACTTCTAGTTGCAAGGGCTAAGGACCAACATGTAGAGGACCCGAAAATAAGTTCCTACAGGATCGTACGACCTTAGGTGAACCCTCGGTGACTCAGCAACGCACTCACTGCACCACACACGACTTTGTCTTGAATCGACTCACCCGTCGGCAAACTCGTCCAAACGACCCCGGATGACGAAATGGACTGTGTCAACGCGTCCGAAACGTTAATTTTAGCCGAGAAGGACACCCATATTGCTAGGGTTACGCGCGGCACAAATGACATGGAAATCGATGCACGTTTTTTTTAACGAAACGCGGGCCCGGACTCAACTCATGTTCAACTCGGATTCGATTCAGGCTGGACTCGAGCCTGAACGAGAGTTAAGTAATTTGAATTTTGAATTTCTGAATTTCAAATTTCAAATAATTTCAAATGAAATATTTAATCCAGCTATAATGAAATTTAATTAGGAGATGTGTTATGCCAAATAAACTCCTCTGTTAAAGGAAACAAATTAATTCCCCGCCAAAGCTTTCACGCTTTCACATAACAGCTCCCGCTCGAATCTTCGGCTGGCTATAGTAATTGGCCTTCGGAGAAGATTCCTAAAGGGATCATCCTCCGCTCTGTTCGATCCCGTCTCCCGCACCGAAGCCGCAGCTCTGCTCGATCCCGTCACCCGCCCGCCCCGAAGCTGCCGCTCCGC